AGGCCAAAGTCTCGCGAGAGCTTGTCCCCGGACGAAAAGGAAGAGGCGGGTCATTTTCCTCTTCAGAATGGATCACAGCCGCGAATGTGCTCGGAAGAACAGAGCCTTAGTGGATTTAATTATTATTTGCCACAGGGGGATATTAGAGAAAGAATAATATTTACATTGGACTTTTAGCTAGTTTTATATAGTAAGTGTTCTAAATTAATCACCGTGCTTTTCTTTTTAGGTGTGTCCAAGAGTGGTTTGCACAAAGGACAGAGGTGGCCCGTGTGGATTTCTCGACAGTGTTCCCGCGCTTCATTTCTCTCTATATTTTTTCCTTTCTGAGTCCCAAAGATCTGTGTGCAGCCGCGCAAGTCAGCTGGCCCTGGAAGTTTTTGACGGAACAGGTTGACCACTTGTCATTGCCTGGTTGTAGTGCACGATTACTGCTCTCATTTGTAGTGAGACCGTTGGGGTAGCTCTCTTCCCTGAAAAGAACACTAGTCGTGTGATAGGGAGCCCTGGGGGTGTAGTGGTTATGAGTTGAGTTGTGATCCACATGGCTGGCAGTTCGAAACCACCAGCAGCCCACTGTGGGGAGAAAGATTGGGCTTTCTACTTACTCCTGTAAATAGTTACAGTCTCAGGAAGCCCACATGGGACTCACTATGAGTCAGCGTTAAGAGCCTTCAAGGGTAAGCGTTGAGCTGCTAATGGTTCTAACCCACCAGCTGCTTTGAGGGCGAAAGATGAGACTGTACCCATAAAGATTTATAGCATTGGAAACCCTAGATAGGGTTGCTCTGTGTCCATATTGAGTAGATTAATGGCAGTGAGTTTGGCTGCTTTGGGTTTTCTCTCCCCCTGAACATGCTTGCTGAGAGTACCTGAACCATAATTAACACTCTTAAGAGAGGGTGGGGGGAAAGGCATTAAGTTAAATGTAGTAATTTACATATAGGCATATATTACTCTTTCAGCTAAGAGCCCTGGTGCATGGACTTTGAATGACGAGTGGCAGTTGGAAACCACCAACCTTCCCTCGGAAAAAGACTGGGCTAATTAGAGTCTCAGAAACCCATAGGGGCAGTTCTACTCTGCCCTGTGGGGTCACTAAGAGTCGGCATGACTCGATGACAGGGAGTGTGGTTTTGGTTTTTGAGTCTTTCAGCAACAACTTCCTGCTGTGCGTCCTGGCCCAAGCAGCTTGGCTTTGGCGTCAGCACAGGCTCTGGTGGGTTTTTCTTCTCTCTGGGGTCTTGGTTACACAGTCCTTTCAGCCTTGGTAACTCTAGAATCCTTGCAGTAGTTGTTTTTGTAATAGTTTATCTAGATATTTGATTGCATATGAAAGTGTCTGTTTTTGTATGTCAAAAATTATGGTAATATCCTTCCATCCTGTCAGAAGTCATTCTCAGTGGATGAGTTGGTCAGAAAATAATCGAACAAAACAACATCATCATTGGCAGAAGCAGAAGTCTGAGAATCTAGAATGAGAACGATCAAATGCTACAGCTATGTATAGGAGCTGGAAATCAGAAAGGCATTTTAGAGACACACACACACACACACACACACACACACACACACACACGCACACACAGGGAGCTTTAAAAAAAGTTCATGGAAAAATAGAATGAAAAGGTTATAGAATTTTTCCATGAACTTTTTGCAGCCCCTTCGTGTGTGTATGTGTTTGTGTGTGTTCCTTAAGAATATTTTCCCTATGGAGTAGTGTATGCTTATTTCTCAGGGTCGAGTTTAAATGACAAGTCACCTGCAGCAGATACTTCAATGTAATAAAATAAAAAAAATTACCTGAATACATTATTAGTAGGAAAACAAACAAACAAACAAACAAACAAACCTTGAGTTGATTAGAACTCATAGTAACCCTACAGGGCAGAGTAGAATTGCCCCCTAGAGTTTTTGAGACTGTCAATCTTCATGGGAGCAGACACCTTCATCTTTTCCTGTGGATCACCAGCTGGTGGGTCCAGACTGCCAACCTTGCAGTTAGCAGTCCAAAGCGTAACCCACACTACCACCAACGCCCCCAAACCCCAAACTCACTGTCTTAGAGTTACAGCAACCCTATCAGACAAAGGAGAACTACCCCTGTGGATTTCTGGGACTATATATCTTTCCAGGAGCAAAAGGCTCCTCTATCTCCCATGGAATGACTGGGGGTTTGAACTGCTGACCTTGTGGTTGGAAGCTCAGTGTTGATTCCTCTACACCATCAAACTAAAAAAACCCAACTCACCGCCATCAAGTCACTCCAGACTCATGACAACCCTATACCCTGTACCACCAAACCCAAGCTCACTGCCATCGAGTTGATGTCGACTTTGTAGGGCCTTATAGGCAGGGTAGAACTGGCCCTGTGAGTTTCTGAGACTGTAACTATTTATTGGGTAGAAAGCCCAGTTTTTCTCCCAAGGATGTCTGATGGTTTTGAACTGGGGACCTTGCAGCTCACAGCCCAACTTGTAACCACTATGCCACCAGGGCTCCTTCATTAGCAGAACACTGTCTTTTTAAAAGATTTGTCAACTTTCTCTCTCTCTGTCCCCACCTGAAGGATTGCTTATGGAGGCCCAAATGTGTTCAGTTTGGATGGTTTCTGCCCTACACGCCGACAGGCAATGAGTATGGTGCTTGGAAGCACCATTACCTGGCCTGTGTGTCCCACTTAGACTGGCTGACGCCGCGGGAAGCGGCTGCTGTCTATGGAACCCTGAATGAACCCACAGCAGGAGATGAGGAAGTACGGGAGAGACAAAGAGAACGGTGTCTAAGACAAATCATCTGGGAGAAAATCACACTACGCAAGAGTGAGTGGTATTTTAAAATTTTGCATCGTCTCTATTGTAGAAGCAAATGGATTTCCACACAAATTCCCTTAGAGGAGGAAGTGGGGGAACTGTTTAAAGTATGTTCAGGACAAGCTCTCACACTGCCCCCCTCCCAACCCCCACCTGCCACTCGCCCGTGCAAGTGATTTGTGAATAAAACCAAAAAGGTTTCAGATGAACTATAGAATGCCAAAGGTCAGGGCCTCCATGGTCACCCCAGTTCCTCTCGGGTGCCTAAGACCTAAAACCAACGAGGAGAGAGAAGAAAGAATACTACCCCGCCCCCGACCAAACCCACTGCCTTTGAATCAGTTCTGACTCTTAGCGAGCGCGCAGCACAGAGGACTCCCAAGGGTTTCTGAGGCAGACTGCCCCATCGTTCTCCCACAAAGACCCGGGAGCAGGTTCAGTACAGAAGGGGGAGCGGTGGAAAGGAGAGTCGCACCACGTGTCAAAGTACCCAGTGAAACCAGTGGGCGTTCTTCCCTTCCTTTGTTTCACCAACTCACCCTCTGGTGAGGGTGGAACAAGTAGGACCTTCCTTGTAGCCACGCAGCAAGGCAGAAAGGGATGGGAAGCCTGCACACGGCTGCACCAGTCTCTGCGAGGAAAGCTTTGCTCATTCTTTGAGCTTTGTGACTTGACCCCCAAAGGCTGGTCCCTTGCAAGCCCAGTGCCGAGAGGATGAGCAATCCCCACAGACCCTGTGACACGGGTTATAATTACTGACACTTGGAATACATCCCTGGCCCGCTGTGAGTGATGCCTTTATCCATGTTGCCTCGGCCGGAGGAAGCCTGAAGGAAACAGCCGTGTCTGTCACTGTTTGTTTTTCAGAGGAGTTATTCAAAGCCCGGCCCCCTTGGGTGAGTGGAACAGGCTGCTCTAGATTGTTACGATCCAGATGCCAACCACGTCTCTCCCAGACTGTGAGGGATCGAGTGGGACTACACGAAGCTTTGGAGAAACAGCTTGTTTTGGCATCCTTAGAAGCCTTGCCCAAGCGGTAAGCAACCCCCCAGCTCCTGAAGGCTCCAAACCATCCCACGATATCAAGAGCCCCTTGGCCCATAATCCAGCGACTACACAGCCATCTAGGAGGATGGTATGACTCGTAGCCTATGGAACATCTATAGGACTGCTGAAGGTCTTCACCATGCTGTCTAAAGAGGGAAACAGAGAACCACACGCAGGACTTATGTTTTAAATATTCCCCGCCTGCAGGGAGGCTTTCTGGTGGGTGTAGTGCATTTTCTGTGGAAAGCTTTTAAGGAAAGATCAGGTTTTTCTACAACATATTTTTCATGGGACGCTGTTGTTCTTGTTAGGCATCCTGGAGTCAGTTCTGACTCACAGTCACCCTGTGGATGGCGGAATGAAACACCCCGGGTCCTGTGCCATCCTGACAACTGTTATCTTTGAGCCCGTTGTTGGAGCTGCTTATCAACCCATTGTATCAAATAAGACAACTCACGGCCATGGAGTTGACCCCACTCAAAGCTATGCTGTAGGAAAGGGCTGAATTGTCCCTTTGGGTTTCCAAGACTCACTCTTTAGGGTAATAGGAGAGCTCATCTTTTCCACCAGAAGAGCTGCTGGTGGTTTCAAACTGCCGACCTCATGGTTACCAGCCACATGCCTAATCCACTACATAACCAGGACTCCTGACAGGGAGGTGGGGAGAAGGGAGATGTTGCTCTAAATGCCCCACTGCGCAGATGGCTAGGGTTATTCAAAATGTCTTGAATGCTCTTATCTCTCCCCTTCAAATTTTATGGATTATATTGCTGTGTTGAGGGTCTTCAAAAATTTTGGGGAAAATTTTCATTACCCTTTCATTCCGTTTTCCCACGCACTGTTGGAAGCCCCCTTTTGGCAGACCAGAGAGCAATGGTTCCTCCATGGACAGTCTAGTCCCCTGGGTCATATCCGGGAAGTGCAGCCATTCTCATGCTGTTTTTTGAGCTGCCCTCCATCATGAACATAAATTCACTGCCCTCTAAGAAGCCTGGCTAATCACCTGATTGGCTGTTGTCCATTTTATCCTATATAGACAGTTCCTAAAAGAGTATAAGGCTCAGGGCAGCTTTTTTTCTCTCTCTTTTTAAACTACTTAAGCTCTTGTTTGGTTTTAATATTTCAGAGAATAATTTGGCTTAAGACTTCAAGATGAGATCAGGACCCTCATTTCAGGCCAGGGCTCACACACCTTTCATGGCTCCTGAAAGGGTGAAGTTGAGCAACAGGTCTGGAGGCCCTGGCTGACCTCTGGCTACACAAGGGATGGGGAGAATCAGTCTCTACAGTCGCCGCAGACTGATTGCCACAAGGCAGAGGACAGACATGCCTCCAGCCTCCTTGTTTCTGTGCCCTACACTGACACTACCGTGCCTTCCATAACAGTCTGCCTTTCTGCTTGGATTCAATAATCTGTTGCCATGACCACATAGAACTCACAGACAGTATCCACGATTTATGGTGGTTGATGAGGAAAGTTAATAGGTTACCCAAAACCTGGATCAGAAACCATTCAGGTCTTTGGCCCACAGTCACATGTTTCTTCAGTCAGCAGTCGTCTTTTTCAGGCCCTCAGCCTCTCAGCTGCATGGTCCCTTGTCTTGTCTCCACGGGCCAGGCAGCCAGCCCACTACCCTGCCTCACAGTCCCATCGTCTTAGCACGACTCATCTGTTCTGCCTCCTGGTCTCCTGGCTTTGGCCTCTGCTCTGTCCCAGGATGTCTGTGCCTCAGTCCTTAGTGCCCCTGGTCTCAGCTTCTGTTACTTTAGACAGAGATTGGGAACAAGCTGCACTGGTGGCTTTTCTTCCTTGCTGGTCCTGAGAGTCTCTGTGTTCCTGCGATGGAGGTAGCACTCTTATATCCAGGGGAATAGCAACAAAATGGACCAGTGCCCTCTATGAGTGCTTCACATGCCTATTGTGTTATCTCATCCAACCATTGGGTGAGAGTTACAGAGACATGCATAGAAGGGCCCTGTTAATAAGTTTCACTGCACTCCAGAAGCCCATAGGGATGTAAAATTCGGTTGTTTTTTCTCCCTTTCTGGACAGAATTCTCCAGTGGGATCATGGATCTAAATGTTCAGGAATGATAGCCACTTCTTCTGGTCTTGTGGCAAAGGAGGCAGGTGTTCATGGAATCTATCAGCTAACCTTCCCTCTCTTCTTCCTATGCCTGACTCTCCTTTTTCATTTCTGCTTCAGGCAAATATAGACGACTGCTGAGCCATGGATGACTGGGTGCAAGCTCGGGAGACCTTAGGCACTCTGTCAAATTATGAGATAAAACTAAAGTGATAAACATATTATTAGGTCAATGACCTGGAATGTCCCATAACCTATAACCTGTATTTCCAAACTAAAGAAACAGTCCTATGAGGTGTTTGGTTACACATAAGCAACTTTAGCAGCTAAATGTTTGTTTGTTTTTAACTTTAAAAAATGATTCATAAAAAGTTTGTGGCTTTTAATGTTTTTCCTCATAGAATGTGATTGTTGAAGAAAATGCACCGAAAGTTGCTTTTCAAAAGTACAACGCTTTGTTGAAACTTAATAAATGGCCATTTTTTTCTTGGCTGTTCAGAAAAAAAAAAGATTCATGCATTCACATAATATCTGTCCTTTCGTGATTGACGCATTTCACTCAGCATGTCCTCACGCTCCACCCATAATGTAGGCATGCATGAAGACTTCATTTTGCCAACTGGCCGAGGAGGGTTCTGCTGTATGTATGTACCACACTTTGCTCATACATTCAGCTCTCGATGGGCATTTAGGGTTTCACCTTTTGGCTGCTGTGAATCATGCTGCAATGAACTCTGTTTGAGTCTCTGCTTTTAAACCCTTTGAAAATATACCAGGAGGGAAATTGCTGGTCTCTAGGTAGTTCCATTTTGAAATTTCTGAGAAAGAGCCACTCTGTTTTCCATCATCTCTCCCACTGCCATTGACTCAATGCTAACTCATGGCGACCTGGTGTGGGTTTCCAAGACGGTAACTGTTTACGGGAGTAGAGAGCCCACCTTTTGTCCTATGGAACTGCTGGTGGTTTTGAACTGCCAACCGTGCAGATCGTACCCCAATGTGAAACCATTACACCACCAGGCTTCCTATATTTTCCGTAATGGCTGTACCATTTTTATTCCCACTGGCCATGGGTACCGGTTCCAATTTCCCTATATCCTCTCTACCATTTGCTATTTTTACTTTTTAGTCTTCACCATCCTTGTGAGAGTGACAGGTGGCTCTCCTCCCACATTTCATTGTGATTTTGATTTGCATCTCCGATGGATGATGATGATGAGCATTGGCTAGTTGAATGTCCCCTTTGATGAAATGTCCATTCAGGACCTTTGTCTGTTTTGTGATTGAGTTGTCTTTTTGTGCTTTCCAAAGTTATTAGCTTTCTATCTGACAAATCGTTTCTGAAGGTATTTTCCCAGGAGGTAGATTGTCTTTTCACTTTTTAAGAAAATAAAGCCTTTGGCAAACCAAAAGCTAATTTCCATAAGGCCTCATTTATTTATTTTGACTTTGGGTGTTAGTGAGTTCCCTACTGTATTCAATAGTCCATTGTGGAGAGCTAGGCTTGGTAACAGTGCCCCTACATTTCCCCACTAAGAACTGCATGGGCTTAGTTTGCACATTGCAGTCCATTTTGACTCTGACTTCCTGCATGTGGAAATTCTCTTCTCTCAACATTACTTATTGAGGAAACACTTCTTTTACCATCAAATGATTTAAGCTGCTGCTTTTTAAAATGCCATCTTGAAGCCCTAAGTATGTCACTACATGCATCTTGAGTGTTCCAGAAAAGCTAAGGAGGTCCCAGGACATCACTGCACCCCTTGATGTGGAAGAAGAGAGGCCCGGAGGACAGGGTGGCCCTGCTCTGCCTATGTGTCCCATTGCTACTGTCCCCTTGACAGACTGAAGCCAGGTGTGCTGTCTGGACTAACTGATGCAGATCATATGGTAATGCTTAAAGAACATTAAGAGGAAATGAAATTTTCATTTGCTTTTCTTTTTTCCCCTTATAGAAGTAACGTTTCTGGAAGCAACTCTTACCCTTTGTTGTCAAAGAAAAACGGGCGTGGAGTGTATAAAAGTTACGACTGCCCTTCAAATGCTTCCCAGTTACATTGCATATTAATATCATCTCGGATTCCAGCATATGAGGTACGAAGGATGGCACCAGGCCAGTGCCTTTCTGAATCAGTGTGCTCCATCTGGCCTGGAGGGCGTGGGGCAGGCTTCCCGGCTCAATATACGTAAACACGATTCATTCCCTAAGAGCAAAGTGGTCTCACCTCTGTGGAAAGGTATAGACCCCAAGCAATTTCAAAATTGGAAGCAAAAAGGTATCCAGAAATCAATATTTTGAAAAAATCATACAACTCATCACAATCCATCCATCCATCCACCCATTGTGTCAAGCACATTTGTACATTTGTTGCCATCATCATTTTAAAAATAATTTTCTTTCTACTTGAGCTCTTGGTATCAACTTCTCATTTTTTCTCTCCCTCCCTCATGAACTCTTGATAATTTATAAATTATTATTATTTGTTCATGTCTTACACTGACTGATGTCTCCCTTCACCCACTTTTCTGTTGTCCATCTCCCTGGGAGGGGGCTCTAGGGAGATCATTGTGATTGGTTCTCCCTATCTCCCCCCCACCTTCCCCTTACCCTCCTGGTATGGCTGCTCTCAATATTGGTCCTGAGGGGTTTATCTATCCTGGATTCCCTGTGTTTCCAGCTCTGATCTGTACCTGTGTCCATGCTCTGGTCTAGCCAGATTTATAAGGTAGAATTAGGATCATGATAGAACTGGAGGAAAGTTGTAGATTTCATCGGTACTATACTGCAACATGACTGGCCTGTCTCCTCTTTGCAACCCTACTGTAAGGGGATGTCAAATTGCCTACAGATAGGCTTTGGGTCTCCACTCCACACTCCCTCTCATTCACAATGATAGGATTTTTTTATTCTGGGTCTTTGATGCCTGATACCTGATCCTATCGACACCTCATGATCACACAGGCGTGTGCTTCTTCCATGTAGGCTTTGTTGCTTCTGAGCTAGATGGCCGCTTGTTTATCTTTAAGCCTTTTAGACCCCAGACACAATATGTTTTGATAGCTGGGCACCATCAGCAGAAATCAGTATTTTTAAAAAGCTGTAAACGCCAAAATGCCGGTGGAGGCAGACTCACACGGGACCAAGGTCTGTGGGAGCTTGTGCAGGGCGTCGACAGCTCCCAGGGTTGGCAGCCCACGTGGGGCCGGCCCTGGAGGCAGACACTGAATCCAAGCAAGCAGGGAAGACGAAAGCCTGAGAGAGAGAGAGAGAGAGAGAGAGAGAGAGAGAGAGAGAGAGCGAGAGCGCTGCCCAGTGTCTCTCAGTACCAGAGGCATCACCAAGCTGTGACCTGACTGGTAGGTTGGACGGCACCCCTACGCTATCACCCTGTTACCAGTTGAGCTAAGATCTAACCACCACCCAGGGGCTTGCCATGCAGTGACGTTCTATGCCATTGAACTGCGACCTCCAGAAAGTAATGCCACAAGTTGAAAAACAAACCAGCCACTTCAAAGGCTTTACAGGCTGTCTGTCGCTGTGAACAACCTTTGCCACAAGGAAAGTTTATTGTGCTGTTAAATTTGAAGAACAGTTGTCTTCATATTTATTGCAATGGGAAACAGTTATCAATCAATATTGTAAAAACACCACTATTCAAAAAGAGAAAAATTTCCAATCCACTTAAGCAGCCCGTTTGCAAAATTGCACAATCTTAATTTTATTGTTTTTATTTGTATATGTGTCTGTGCAAGAGTGTGTGCAAGGAAAAACCATGGGGAGAAAGTCAGCTAGAGGGGTCATATTATTTCTCTCTGAGTGATGGAGCTACATGTGGCTGCTTTTCTCTATATATAATTAAGAAAGAGATAATGTTAAAAATAAGCCAATGGAGAAAGAAGCTTATCATCCTGTTTCTATAAGTTCTGAAAATAGCAAGGCATTCTTTACAAATCACAGCATATACCGTACCCACTATATTTCTTTCATTAATAACTATCCTAAAAAGGCGGGCTTGGCTTTCTATAGCTTTGGTTCTCTTTTCCAGATGGTTGTGGATAGTGTGAAGGCCGAGGTCATCTCTGAGGTCTATGAACACTGTGGCTTGACCTTGGAAAGCCTGCTCTCGCTCTTGGAGAAAGCACTGGGCGGGCAGAAGGCACAGAGCCTGGGGATATTTAGTGATGGAGATAGCAGAGAAATCAACTTACTGCAAGGTAAGGGGGCTGGTAAGGACCAATCAAGTATCTTTGCCCTTATATAGTTTTTTTCAGAGGTAAGTTCTCATTTGCTATGGAGCACTGATGTTGGCTTCACCAAAGGATTAACAACAACAAACCCCAAGATCTATAAATCAGGGAGCAAGGGTGACATCTGTGGTACTCCCACTTAGTTTTTACCACAAAGAAAACACTTGGCTGATGGCATTACGCTCTTATGCAGCGTCCTTGCAAAATTGCAGTGCAAAATTGAATGCAAAATTCCAAATCTTATTTTTCCAGGATGATGACGAATGATTAGAACTAGCTATGCAAGTCTTCCTCATAATATAACCTGTTTTCTTCTTTATCACCTAGGATAGAATGTTCTTAACCTTATTAACACGAACTCTTCCGTCCCTTCCATTCCATCTACCAGGGAGCCTTGGTAACTGTGGGTACAAATTGGGTTGCAATCCACAGGCTGGCAGTTTGAAACCACCAACCACCCTTGAGAGACAGACGGGCCTTTCTATTCCCATCAACAGTTATAGTCTCAGAAGCACAAAGGCGCAATTCTACCCGGCCCTATAGACCCATTTTGAATCGGCATCGACTCACTGGCAGTGAGTGACTTCCAGCCCTGTAGGAGGAGGATTAAGATGGATGTTCATCTAGCTGGCAGGGAATGCACAAAATGGCAGAGTGGGTCCCCAAGTTGTCTGTCATCTTGCTGAGTTTTATCATTAGCAAAAACAAGCTGCTTTATGTTAGTTTTAATTTAACCTTGGCATTCAAACCTTCTAGATGGGAGTGGCTTTGATTAGATTGGTTTCCTTTTTCAGTTCACTCCGTGTCTAGAGCAAGCTGTGGTCTACATTTCACCACCTGTCTTTCTCCCCTAGGTAAAGCACAAATACATTTTCTTTGGGAGTGAATGTACACTTGCCTTGTAACTCATATCTGGCTGGCGCAGATGGCTTGCCTTTGCCTACTAACCTAAAGGTTGGCAGGTTGAGCCCACCCAGTAGCCCTGCAACAGGAAGACCTAGCAACCTGCTTCTGTGAAGATTCTAATTCTTAGTGACCCTGCAGGGCCAAGTAGAACTGCCCCACAGGTTTCCAAGACTGAATCTTAGAGTCACATTGCCTCCTCTTTCTCCTGAGGAGCAGCTGGCGGGTCCCAACTTCTGGCCGTTTGATTATGCTTAACCCAGTGTGTTACCAGGGCTCGTGCTGGACAGATCAGCATCCAGGAAACCTGATGAAGCAGTTCTACTTTGTAACACGCGGCCTGGCCGTGAAGTGGAACCTACGCAGTGGCAGTGGGCTTGGTTCTCTGGTTTGGGTTTCACTCTCCTCTAGATGGTGGCATAGTGGTTATGAACTGGGCTGCGATCTCTAAGGTTCGAAACCACCAGCTGCTCTGAGTGACAGTCTCAGACCCTCACAGAGCTAGCTCTACCCTGCCCTACAGGGTTGCTATCAGTTGGCATCGACCCGATGGTCAGAGTAAACCAGCCTCTAACAACCGCAGGATCTGTAGGTGCAAGTGTATGGCGATAATATGTACGATGTAAAGGTTATATGTAAATAATATGTAAAGGTTATAGCGAAGTCATAGAGAATAGGAAAGATAGGAGAAAGTAAAATGAAGGAGTCAGACACATTTCATGGTCGCAGCCCACCTCAGCCCCTCTTGGTGGTCCATGTGGAGGTAGGAGAAGAGAAAGGGAGTCTTTACTGTCTCGGGGCATTTATAGGTACCCATAGACATGCATATTCAGGAGCTACATACATCACCAGGAGGGTGGTAATCACAGTAAACTCCCTGAGCTCACAGGTGAGGAAACCTGATGCCTGCATTGGGGGAAGGCATGGGTGGGATGTGTGCGGCGGGGGTGGGGGGAGGAGATAATCAAGGAATGCCTGTGTGGTAGTTACATAATCTGGTGTCAATATGAGCATTGGGAAGGGCTGGAGTCTAGTCTGTCAATCATTCTATAGGCAATGAGGCCTCTCTCCTGAGAATTCTGGGAACTCCTGTATTTCCTCTTTGGGGGTGGAAGATACTTCTCTCTCTTGACCCTCGGAGACTCTCTACTGAGGAGGCTGACGCCATGCGAGACATCCCTATGGATCTACCCTGATGCAGCCCTGGGTGCTGGAGAAGCCACGTGAAGACCCCTGCCAGCGCTGAGATGCTTACACCACCACTGGATCCAAAGACTTTCTACCCACTGGCCTGTGATCACCCTGCACTCGGCATCATTGCATGTGTTTCTTGAGTCTGAAGAGACTTAGGGGCTTGGACTGGACTATGTTGGGATGCTTTCTTAATGTACAATTACCCTTTATATAAAATTCTCTCTTATACACATAGGAGAGGCTCTATGAATTTGTTTCTCTAGTCTACCCAGACTAACACAGTCTGCTTCGATAGTGAGAATCACCCATGTGTTCACTTTCCGGCAGCTTAACTGTTAGGGGGGAATCTGTGGGAATAATATTTTAGGCAGGATAATGTATTTGGACTTTATCGCTAACTTACCAAAGTGGTGGCTTTCCTACTGTGCAATACTAGCTTTCCAGATTCCCTCCGTTATAAGCTCGGGAATAAAATCCTGTCCTAGTTCCCTACTTGTCAGTTTCCCACACTCGATAGCAATGAGTTTGGTTTCCAGTGTTGTCCCCTTCCACCCTCCCCACTCTCCTGGCCTTTGTTTGTGTGTGTGTGTGAGGTTGTGTGTGTGTGTGAAGTTATTTATGTGTATGAGGTTGTTTGTGTGTGTGTGAGGTTGTTTATGTGTGTGAGGTTGTTTGTGTGTGTGTGAGGTTGTTTGTGTGTGTGTGTGTGGTTGTTTGTGTGTGTGAGGTTGTTTGTGTGTGTGAGGTTGTTTGTGTGTGAGGTTATGTGTGTGAGGTTGTCTGTGTATGTGAGGTTGTGTGTGTGTGAGGTTGTTTGTGTGTGTGTGTGTGAGTGAGGTTGTTTATGTGTGAGGTTGTGTGTGTGAGGTTGTTTATGTGTGTGTGGTTGTTTGTGTGTGTGTGAGGTTGTGTGTGTGTGAGGTTGTTTGTGTGAGGTTGTTTATGTGTGTGTGAGGTTGTGTGTGTGAGGTTGTGTGTGAGGTTGTTTGTGTGTGTGTGAGGTTGTTTATGTGTGAGGTTTGTGTGTGTGTTAGGTTGTTTGTGTGTGTGTGAGGTTGTGTGTGTGTGAGGCTGTTTGTGTGTGTGAGGTTGTGTGTGTGTGAGGTTGTTTGTGTGTGTGTGAGGTTGTTCTGAAGAAATGTTTCCTCTCCTCTACTCCTGGCTGGGAACTAGGAGCATGCCTGTCTACCAAGGCACCACTGGTGGGCATTTGAAGCCTCATGACTTTGCGACACTAATGATCATGGTTGGGTGATCTCTTCTGATTCATTTCTGTTTCTTGGATTTAGTACGCAGAGAAGAGTGGCAAATTCTTATTTCCTGAAGCATGTCCCCTGGAAACAACTTTCTCGCGCATGAAAGAAAAGTGTCCAAGGAGGCTGCGTGAAATCTCTTAGCTTCCTTGCCAGTAGCCCCAGAACGTGAACCATGTGACTCTTGTTCCCTCTGGAGACACAGTGACCTGGATGTAATCGTTCAACTCCTCTAGAGGGTGAAGGAGCTCCGGGCCACTGTGGTGTCCAGCACTGAAGAGGAGATGCCTTGTGGGTCTTGATTCCTCAGTTTGAAGCAGCTGTTGACTTCCTGAATTCATGGCTGGATTTTTCCTAACCATCAAGAGTTTCTCTTCAAGATAATGTTACAAACTAATATATATCTTTTTTTTCAGGGTATAAAATTGGGATCAGAAATTTATTGCAGCCTGAAGTGAGAGACTTCTGGGAGAAATTGGGAAGCTATGTGGCTACCGAAGAAGAAGGGGGTCATGTGGACCTCTTTGTACCACTTGCAGCATCAGGTTAGTTTTGAATGAACCACAGGAACAGAGGGGTCCTGCCTGTCTTCTGACGACATGGTGTGCATCTGCGGGATGCCGTCAAAGAGGAAAACCAGTCACATTGATCCTTCTTTCTCTCTCTTTTTATATCTCACAGACCCAGGGATTGGAGGGAAGAGGAGGGTGAGTGGTAGGCTAAACTGTCCCTTCAGAAACAGTAATGGTCATGGTCAACAGCATTAGTCTGGCAAATGTAGTCAACTCAGTGATTCCGAGACAGGGGACAGGTTCTCATGGGAACTAGAATTAAACAGTCTGAGAAAATATCCCTGGCCACTGTGATGATGGTAGTGATGTTGACTTTGAATTAACCTGGACTTTGGTTTGAGGCTCTGGACTTGAATCCCTCTTATGCCACTTTTTAGTTTTATGACCTTCCACCAGTTTGTAGATCTCCATGGTCTCTAAAAGTTAGGATCCTGGTGCCATACCTTGATCCTACAGGACTTGTATGTATCCAAAGAGCATTAGCATGTAGGCACTAAAAAAATAACCTACATATTTGGATATTTAAATATTTTAAAAAGTGAGTTTGTTAGAGGTCACGGGTTGCTGATGGAACATAAGGGTCTTCCAGTCTAGAGTCATACTCTGTGATGCAAAGCTGGTTTCAAACTCTTGAAGGAAAAATCTCAGAAGCCTTTGATCCCATGGCTCACTCATCACTTAAAGCTGTGCATTCCTGGGCTTTGTCTTTTAGCCAAGCAGAGGAGAGGGAGGATGATATTAAATTTTCTCCGAACTATTTTATATTACTCCTTCCTTAGGGGACCGTTCTATTGTTCTTTCTATCCTCTTATTTCATAGCACTGCAGGCAGGACCCTACCAGGCCTTCACCATCAGAAAGGAAAAGGCAAAAAGATTAAAAGGGGCTTAAAACAAAGTGAAATTCAAAGTACTTGGTAAAATCCTTTGGTTAAACCTTAGCAAAGTTATCAAAAATTCATGATATCAACTATGTGCAAATGTACAACTACAAGTGTAGGAGGAAGTATACCAGAATATCAACAGCAGGCATCTTTAGGTACCGTTTTCAAGTATTCTCCTTGTGAAATCAATGTAAAAGAATAGGTTGCACAGTATAGGCAGTGTGGTTCCCTGTGTGTGTGTGTGGTGGGGGTGGGGGGGCTGCCAAGTGTGGGGACATATGTATACAAATGAGCCTAGGAGGGTTTATACCAAGGTGTTAACAGTAGTTGAAGAAAATTATTAGTGGGTTTCCTTACTTATTGTATGCTACTTCATTTCTTCTGCTGCGTTTCTGTTCTCTATGAGTTCAGCAGGTTTCTACTGCTGTGCTACCCTCTCTGTTTTTTAATGATGCCGTATTACCTTTACATGGAGAGCCATGCAGATTTTTAAACCAGAGTAGAAGAAAAAGACAGGTTACAAGAAAGTGCAGTAATGAAAGGCAGAAGAGGTAAAGAACGATGGAGTTAATGACATGAGAGTTCCGATGGAATGTAGTGCCCTCACACCATAGGTTCCTGACCATCACTGGGGCCATAAAGCCATCCCTAAGCTTCTCAAATGCAGTCTCTACCTGGATGGACCATCCAAGATGTTGGCTTCTAAGTTCAAAATCACATAGTCCACCCCCTCAGGCACTGCTCCTGTGGTTTTACTCTTGAACTTTATTCCCTCTGAAGTCTCAATAGTAAGCTTGGTCTCTCTGAGAACCACTTCCAGACCATTCAGTTAATCTGCTCAGACATTCCTGCTCTCACACTCCTTTGCCTGAGGATGTTCAATCCGCTTGCTCATCGAACTTGTGCACTCTGTCGCTGGTTGGGCACCATGCTGGGAACGAGAGCAGAGAGCAGAGAGACTGGACTTGGGTTGACCTGGCTGATGCCTCCCCAGTCAACTTGCCCTGAGCAGGCTTCACTTCTATGTTGTCAGAGTAAATGACATAATATGGCCTTTGGTTGTTTATTCAGTTCTAAACTGGTGTTCTGTGACTTGAAACTTAAAGTATCTTAAATGTCATAGTTATCTAAAAAGCTTTATAAACAAGAGCCATAAACACTTCTTGAGCAGTGATAGAGATTTGACTGGGTGGTGCAAAGGGTGTGGATTTGGCTACTAACCTCGAGGGATGCTGTGTTAATCCACATGTTGGCACCTCCAAAGAAAGGCCTGGTGATCTGTTTCTGAAACATCAGCTGTTGAAAACCCCATGGAGCCCTATTCTCTCCGACGCTCAGAGAAGGGACCACCAAGAGTTGGAAATTGCTTGACACCAATTTAAAATATATGCTATTTTACAAATGAGAAAGCGGAGTCCTAAAGAAGCCCTACACTCAGTTACTGAGTTAAAGTAAAGTTACTGAGAATGTTAGACAGGGTTCTCTAGAAATATGAACCAGGACATTTATGAGTAGATAGATAGAGCATGAAGGAATAGAACCGCTAGTTAGTCCACATAGCAGTACAGAGGGCTCCGTTCAAGTCACTTTCATGGAACAGTTAATATACTGGAAGTCCTTCAACTCACGAGGGCCATGGGTCCAAGGTCAAGGAAACAGACAGCTGAGTGTTTCATAGCGCAATGCAGGCAGTCCAGCCACAGGCAGCAAACAGCAGGATGAGTCACCAACAATCAGTAAGAACATGGCATATGACAGTCCCAAGCTCAAGTGATGTGTACACCAGCAGCATGGCGAAAGCAGGTCTCAAAGGAACCTCAAGCTCCAGCAATACGATCTGCAGGTTGGCAGTCCCACAGGTAGTGTAGCTCATGAGTTGAGGCAGAAAATTAGCAGCCACACACTACTCTGATAGAGTTTTCTACTCCTGTAGAGTTACAGTCTCAGGAACGCACAGGGGACACTATGAGTCAGCATTGATTCGATGGCAGTGAACTCTATATAATGGGTCTCTGCTACTATTTGTCAAAGTGGGAGAGGGTTCTATGGAATGAACCCTCAAAACATGCCTCAGAACAAAAAGAGTGTGTACACCCACATTGGACAAGATAAATCCCCCTCCAAACATGGGATCCAGAAAATGAGAGATTTCCCACCCCTCCAGCTATTGCCCTCTTGTTCTGAGCAGCAATGGAAAGTATTCGGAGTAATTCCTGATTCTCGGGCTACAAAGAATTAAAACTCATGGCCGATCAGATTCATCCCATTGGAAAGGATTCCATGTCTCTGAAGAGATAGTGGAATTACTGCCACACAAAAATTTGACTAACACATTCCATTTTGTACCTTGTAGTTTTTCAATCTATCCTTTCAAGATAAAGCTTCTCCTTTGAGGAAGGCTGTTTAGAAAATATACACAGACTGTCCTCTGGCTTTGGGCTGAGAGTTCCAAGTCTTAAAATAAGCACCAGATTTAAACATCTGCCTTTTCTCTCCCCTATGTTGTTCAGACCTCATAAATGGGTATCAGCATTTCGGGGTAAACTGCAAACTCTTTGGGGACTGCTCTGTGGAGGCATGTGTAGAGGAAGAGGCTCCTGGTGGCCTTTCTTCCTCTGCTCCTCGATGCTCCCAAGTAAAGTTTCACCGGCAAAATCTGGGAGTGAACTAACGCAAGTGTTTTCGATTCTGCAGAGGCAGGAGTGGAAGTTCTTTCTCAGCTGTCTCAACTAACGGGCACATTGTTTACCGCCCCCACTGGGATTGCAACAGGCTCCTATCAACACAGTAAGTGTGTGTGGGAGCTGACTGCCTACCATGCCCCCAAACACACACCAACCTGAAACCAATCACTGCTACAATGGAAATACCGCATGTGGATGGCTTTACGAACAAATGGATTTTGTCACAATGTAGGAGGCTGTAAGTCTACCTTCTAGGGAAAGGCCCTCTCTGTCTGATCTCAGTCTCCAGCCAGCCATCCTCGGAGATCGCAGACTTGTAGACTGGTCTACCTTCGTGATCTCCAGAGAATGTTGGTCTTCCCATGCATCTTCTGTGCCTAATCTGCTCTTTGTATTTAATATCAGTTGGTTACATTAAGAATTGTGTTAATCAAAGATTCTATAGAAGAATCCGATCAAAAGGGGGAAAAATATGGAGAATTTCAAATTCTCTCCCTGGAAGCCAGAGTTTTTGAAGCCATGGAGACTAGATGAACTCCCAAAACAATTGCTATGAGCTCTTTAAGCCTTAATGCAAAACTCTCTCTGAAAGTCTTCTTTGAACAAAACAATAATGTGTTTTAATAATAAGTATGTCTGCCCAGGGCTCCTTAATATTGGATCACTGTGTAAGATCAGTTGTCCAACAGAAGAGCCAAATCGCTCACTACAGGAATATTCATTATTTTCCCTTTAAGACTCCCTGCCTCCTATCAAACAGTTTGGAGTAAGGTGGGTACATGAGAGGGCTTTAAAAAATTCATGGACCAATGCCATTATCTTTTCTTCCAGTTTTTCATGATCTTTTAGAAGACTCTCTTGTATAAAGGATTGCTTCTCAAATCCTAAATGCCTGCACCTTTCAAGATGAGGGAAGAGTTGGCATGGTTTTGGAATTTGTAAGGACAAGACTCCACTGTAGATACAACAACACTCGAATGGACTTAATATTGCTGGTGATTAGTTTTGAAGCAGAAGGGCGAGCTGTAGTGAGGGGAGCTTGAGAAGTTGCCATGGTGAGCTGTGATTTGTCTTCTAAAATGGAGCAGTGTCCATACACCAGGGTCCGATGACTAATGAAAGACCATCCTGAGAAGCTAGCATATCTGACCCCATGGGGAAAGGAGTCTGTCTAGCAGAGCACCGCAGGGCATGGCCACGGTCGTTTATAATCTAGTACTACTTTTCTTCTTTTTCCTCCTCTGCTACCTGCATGCTTCTCATCCACCCTCATCTTCTCGTTCTCCTGGTAGAAGACAAGGTGAAACAACTTTATACTAATTAGGGGACTTAAGAAAGTTCTTGGAGAAATTTAATCATCTTTGAGTTCCATTTCCCCACAGACTCTTTGAAATGCCGTTGTCTTTTTTCAGTAAGGGTGGGGAGGGAGAAGAGAATAAGGCTATCTGACCATCAAGGATCCACTGGGGATCTCACACTATCATTCAGATGAACTGGTTTTCAAGGGGAAGTTTGTGCTTCAGCACCCACGACAGGTGTGTAGAGTAAGGTGACCAGATGTCCCGCTTTTGGCAGGACAGTCCCAATTTTTAACAATTTTCCCCGTGTCCTGCAGCATTTTTAAAAAGTCCTGATTTTTTGAAAGAATGCACGACAAGCTAGGGTATACGGTTTTTGGCTGCCATGTGGCTATTTCGCCAGGATATGAGTTTTATCAATGGTATCCCGCTTTTGTCCCGCTTTACCAATGTTAAAATCTGGTCACCTTAGTGTAGACAGACCGCAGCTTGGCAGCACAGAAGAAAGCTATCGGGTTGTTACCACAGGGGTGACTTTGGGTTGCATGGTGGGCTAATCAGACAGAGTGGGATTTTCATTTTCAGAATGTAGATGCGACAGTGTATTCTTATTTAAGGGGCCTACGCTGCTTCCCTGTGCATAATCCAGCAGCTGTTTAATTTGAGGTTTCAAATACAGGTCAAATCTTGTCTATCCAAGAGTAGGCAGACATAGAAGATTCTTCAGGGTGACCATTTTTAATTTTTAATTTCACCTCTGAAAGCACAGTGTGGGTGTTTCTTCCATTGAGAAAATCTTCCATTGAGAAAGTATAATAAACCTGATATAAATACTTGTACACCTACACTTTTGTTGTACTTTAAACAAGAAGAATTATTTCATATGTGCTCTCTCTGCAACACTGACGGAGAAAACATTGTTAGTTCTTAGTGATTGGCTGGGGCTACATCAGGAAAAGGCTCCTGTCTCCATCTACTTCATTGAATCAAAGCTGCAAACTTGGTCCAGCCTCACAGACTCACTGGAAGACACCTTGAAATTGGTAAGGAAGCAGTTACGTCCCGTCTTCATGGACTTGCAGAGGAGAATCTATGGAAGGATGATAGGTAAGAGTGCTGGCTACTTCTGCTGCAGGTTAAGTGCCAGGTGTGTTTCATATCCGGAGGGAATCCAAGTTTAGAAAATGATGCAAGTCAATTTTAATGTTTTAACCTCTACAGTAAACTCAATTCCCTTGGTCTTTCCTATTGCCTTTAAAATATAATATCCACAAAGAACAACTGTATTTGCGTTCAAAATGTTGAAGCTAGTTCTTTTTTTAAAAAAATGTCACCATTATATGAATTCCTATGTGAGTCAGTAAGGAACTCTGGTGGCGAGGGGGATGAGGGTTGGGCTGCTGACTGCAAGGCTGGTGGTTCAAAACCATCAGCCAGTTTGAGAAAGATGAGACTATCTTCACCTGTAAAGATTTCGTCTTGAAAACCCTATCCAGTGACCCGGTCTCTAAGAGTCAGCATTGACACTGTGGTGGGGAGAGATGAGTCAGTTACTCACTTGAACAAAAAGCACTGAATGTTTTTTTTAATAATATCATGCCAGATCATACTTTTTCCTCCCATTGGAAAATTTTTGCTTTTATTTCTTAGCACAGTTGTATTGACATATAATTCATGTATCACACAATTTAATGGTAGCAACATGTTAAAGAGTTGTATATTCATCACCATAATCAATGTTCTTCAGTCTTGTATCCATTATTATTAATTCTCCACTTCCCCCAAACCTCTCCTGTCACAGCCCTACTACACTATGAATCTAGATGCTCTCTCTGTAGATTTGCCTGTCCTAAGTTTCATATAAAGGAAATAGTTTTTTTAAGAACTCAGTAACTACAACAGAATAAAATGCACTAAAAAAACTTAACCTAAAAGATAACATAAGTAAAACAAGTATTAAAAACAGGTCAAAAGGGAAAACAAATGGCAAGATGTTAAATTTTGACCTAACTATCTACAGTGATCCACTTCCCAACGCATTCTGCCTGGGAATAAGACTAGCCACTTCCTTGGTCAATGGACCAAGGGAATTCGATGGAGGCATAGTCTCTGCATGGGGGCTGGGGGCGGGGTACTCTGTAAATGGATTTTGGGATTTCACTGCCCTCCATAGCCTTCTGCAAACTGGGAAGCACTGTTTGATGAGCTAGAGCAGTGGTTCGCAACCTTCCTCATGCTGTGACCCCCTTCATACAGTTCCTCAAGTGGTGGTGACCCTCCCCAACCATAAAATTATTTTCATTGCTACTTCATCACTGTAATTTTGCTACTGTTATGAATCGGGCAACCCCTGTGAAAAGGTCGTCTGACCCCCGAAGGGGTAGCAGACGCACAGGTTGAGAACTGCGGAGCTAGAGGGCTGTATTCTTTTTCCATTTTAATTGGTTCTACGTGTTGCCCTTGAACATCCAGTTAAGCACCTCTCTGACCACAGAACGTCTTCCTTAAATGGCTCAAATGCTACCACCTGATCATTCTCGATCTTAAACAAGCAATTTGTTGTTGAGCTGCATGGTCCTTTGCTGGGCCTATTAGATATCACTGAATTAATTTCCTCAGTCATACTCCACACCTAGGGTTGAATGATCTCAGTAGAGTCTTTTGGAAGCATTTTGCCTTCTCAACTTTGGATCTTCACCTATAGTGATCCATTCTTTAAAAATAAAACATGAAACAAACAAACCACCACAAAGACCAAGGTCAATGCTATCCAGGTGATTTCCGCTCAGTTTCCATGGTGGGCTATTCTGTAACCAAGAGCTGCACATTTGGTTGGTCTGTCCATTTTATTTTTTACCATGGTGGATATCTTCATGACGAAATAGAATTTTCATTTCTGTTCATTATGTTCTGATCCACTAAAAACAACTGTGAGGACCGAGTTGCTTTCTTCTCGATCATTTCTTCCATAAATTAACCACCGGGTGTGTGGCCTTGTTTTGACAGGGCAGTTTATGTTTGACACAATGAGCACGGTCAACATCTTGATGCACCAGGAGACCACACAGGCCCTCGCGGATGGACTGATGGGGCTGTCGGAAGAGAACCCTGTGAGTCTTTCCTCAGAGAAGACCACCGCCCCCAACACGCAAATCAAGAAAGTGTAGAGTCTGCATGTATTACTTTTATATTTGTCTATCCCTTTGGGGTGAACAGTTTTCCAGAGAATATGCATCCGTTTGTAAAAACAGCCACTGTGAGATTTTGACTCACGCTAAGATGTGTTAGGTCTGAAAACTAGAGAAATAGAAAAATCATCCACATTATCTAAGTTCTTGTGAAAGGAGTGGTTTTTTGCTTTTTAAATCTTGTGCTTAATTTGAGTTAGATGTAATTTATCTTAAAGATGTGTTGGTGTTTTTCCATTTCACATGAACATTAGTCAACAGTTAAAACAATAGAAAGAAGCGGGGAAGAGCATGATGCTAAGTTGAAAAAGATGAAGGGCAAAGGGGGCAGGGTGAGAGAGGAATTGAGAGAGAGAGAAAAGGGAAACCCAAACCCAGAAATAAGCAAATCAGTCACTTGGTTGCGAGCGGACACGGGGAAAGCGTGAAGAAAGCTTTTCATCAAACCGTTAACAGATACCTTCCCGGAAAAGTCAGTGCCCAGATCGGAAAACTGAGAACCGAGCGGCAGGTCTTTAGAAACCCCACACAGACAGTCTGATCACAAGGCTCCGAGGAAATGAGATGGCAGCTGGCTGTCCATTTTGGAGCGCCTGGGAGGCTGGCAGGAACAGGGATGAGGTTAACTTACAGGCTGCCCTTGGGAAAGAGTCTCCAACCCTTTTCCTCCTGTGTCGTCTTCTGCTTCGTAGGCGGTTCTTTCCCCCTTGACGCTGATGAACATACCATACATTGAAATAGTTAGTCATATCAAAAAGGGCTGTGCAGTCATCACCACAATCAACTTGGGCATCTTTTCTATCTTCTTTTACACATTGATGTTGATACCCCATTCCCCCCCCCCCTCATTTCATGTCCCCAGGCAATCATCAATCTGTCACTGTCCTCTGAATTCCATCGCTCCCAATTTCCCTATGCAGACATATTTACAAGACTAGAGAAGACAACACACAAGTATTCCTCAATAGTGACCATATAAAACCAACAGAGACCTACCTCAATCGAAGAGAAAGTAGAGACAATTTAAAAAATTGGAATAATTTCACATTGGGGTGATAAGGAGATAAAATTACAAGACGTTCCAGCCCAGACTAAGTATAGTTGCTACAATGTACGTTACAATGCTAATTGTCTATTATTTGGGCTGTTGAGGAACCTAGTCCATATGCATTGTGGATTCACTGGAGGCTCATCTCATGTAGGGAATCCACATATGGATTTTGGGCCACCACTATCGTCCATAGTTTTCCAAGAACTAGATATTTAGGATTTAGACACTGGTATCATTCCCTTCTCCAAGTTTGCATCTTATTGTTAGCTCTCTTTGGATTACACAGGCTGCTGAGCTTCTTCTAGGTAGACATCTCACTTAGATGGCTGCTTGTTTTGAGATAAGCCTTTAAGACTCCAGATGCTTTTATCCATGTTAACCAGCAGTATCTAGTTTCTTCACCACGCTTTCCTAGGGCACTCGTCTTCAATGACGTCTTCATGAGGGCAAGGGTCAAGCAGGGCCATGGCGTAAGAATGAATGGTTTTTGTAGTAGGGCTACAATCAAGTGAGAGCTCAAAATACATTCTTGTAACTTATTTCTATAAATCCCTGGTTCGATTTTAGGGATATTATTGTTATTTTATTATAGTACACCCTCAATCTTCCCTCTGGGTTTTAAAGGGACTCTTGACTGTAATGTTGTTTTAGTCAATGGTATTGCATTGCAAAGGATTTCATGCATGTTTAACATTACCAGACTCCATTACATGAATAGCTAGCTTCTTTATCTCCAACCTGTGGGTGACTGGATACTAGTTACATATGTCATGAGGTTTGTACTTTTAGCCAACATCTAATGAGTAATGTCCCCGGAGTGCTTGGCTGATCAAAATTGATCAGGGATGCTCAGGACAAACCTGAGGCCTTAAAAGGTTGAACCATGTCTCCCAAAACACCAAAGAGTTATTGAATTTGTTCAGTGGAGGTTTGGTGTGTACTTACATTGTTACATAGTTATTTCCATATACTCTTGTATGATGTCATTTCAATGGAATCTCCAGCTAGAGAGGGAACCCAATTCAGGGTGTTTCTTCCAGTAATTCTGCTGCAGTAGCCTTTCTCGTCTGCCCTCTTTCCCAGGATGCATAATGACAAGATTCTTCCTGTCTTGTTTCCTCTTTGGTCACAGTTGGTGTGGCCACTTTGGCTCTGACGATCTTGAGGGCCCCTCCACAAAAATATAGCATCTCACCTGTCTTGTGACCACAAACTGCGAACTCAGAGTCTGCAACAAGTGGAAGGTGTGACTATTGACTGACTCTACCTCTAGTCAAAAGGGCACTCGTGGCACTGTGGGTTAGCACTGGGTGGCTAACCACAAGGTCAGCAGTTCAAACCCACCAGCAAATCTGTGGGGAAAAGATGAAGCTGTCTACTTCCAGAAAGACCAATAGTCTTTTCAGGCATATATTGCCAAGAAGGCTTTACAAAACTCAGTAGCCACCTTTAAAAATAATCATTTTATTGGGGGCTTGTACACCTCATCACAATCCATCCATCCATCCATTGTGTGTCAAGCACATTTGCAGATTTGTTGCCATCATCATTCTCAAAACATTTGCTTTCAACTTGAGCCCTTGGTATCAGCTCCTCATTTTCCCCCTCCTTCCCTTCTCCCCCCTCCCTCATGAACCCTTGATAATTTATAAATTATTGTTTTGTCATATCTTGCACTGTCAGACGTCTCCCTTCACCCACTTTTCTGTTGTCCGTCCCCCAGGGACGAGGTCGCATCTAGATCCTTGTAATCAGTTCCCCCTTTCCAGCCCACCTTCCCTTTACCCTCCCAGTATCGCCACTCACACCACTGGTCCCAAAGAGATAATCCGCCCTGGATTCCCTGTGTTTCCAGTTCCTATCTGAACCAGTGTACATCCTCTGGTCTAGCCAGATCTGTAAGGTAGAATTGGGATCATGATACTCGCGAAGAGGAAACTTTAGGAACTAGAGGAAAGTTGTATTTTTCATCATTGCTACATCGCACCCTGACTGGCTCATCTCCTCCCCGAGACCACTCCATAAGGGGATGTCGAGTGGCATACGAATGGGCTTTGGGTCGCCACTCCATACTCCCCCCCTCATTCACGATGATAAATTTTTTTTTCCTGATGATGCCTGATACCTGATCCCTTCGACACCTCATGATCACACAGGCTGTTATGCTTCTTCCATGTGGGATTTGTTGCTTCTGAGCTAGATGGCCGCTATTTACCTTCAAGCCTTTCCGACTCCAGATGCTACATCTTTTGATAGCCGGGCACTATCAGCTCTCCTCGCCACATTTACCCATGCACTCATTTGTCTTCAGCGATCATATCATGGAGGAGAGCACACAATGATATGATTTTTTGTTCTTTGATGCCTGATAACTGATCCCTTCAGCACCTCATGATCACACAGGCTGGTGTGCTTCCTCCATGTGGGCTTCACTGCTCCTGAGCTAGATGGCTGCCTGTTTGCCTTCAAGCCTTTAAGAGCCCAGATGCTATAGCTTTTGATAGCCGGGCACCATCAGCTTTCTTCACCACATTTGCTTATTCACCCGCTTTGTCTTCAGCAGTTATGTCGGGAAAGTGAGCATCATAGAATGCCAATTTAATAGAAGAAAGTATTCTTGCATTGAGGGAGTACTTGAGTGGAGGCCAATGCCCCTCCACTACCTTAATACTAAACCTATAAATATTTGCACATAGATCCATTTCCCCATTATATATAAATATATTTGCATATGTACATGCCTTTATTTAGACCTCTATAAATGCCCTTTGCCTCCTAGCTCTTTCCTCCATTTCCCTTGACTTCCCTCTTGCCCCACTATCATGCTCAGTCTTCATTTGGGTTTCAGTAATTCCTCTTGGTTACATTACCTTAGATCATGCCCTACCAGGCCTCCTACACCCTCCTCACCACAGATTTGGTTCACTTGTTGTTCCCTTGTCCCTGGGTTTGTTTACACCACTGCCTTTTCCTCCGACCTTCCCCTCTCCTATGTCCCCCCAGAACTGTTGGTCCCGTTGTTTTCTCCTCCAGATTGTTCATCCAGCCTATCTTATTTAAACAGACCTGGGGAGATAATAACATGCACAGAGACACGACAGAGTAAAACCAAGCAACAATATACAACAAAACAACAGCAACAACAAACCAATGACAAATAAGCAAAACACAACAAGAAAGAAAAGCTTGTAGTTAGTTCAAGGACTGTTTGTTGGCCTTTAGGAGTGTTTTACAGTCTAGTCTCTTGGGGCACCAAGCCCTGACCCCAAAGTCCACCTTCAGCCGCTCTGTTCCCTTGCTATTCTGTTGCACCCCCTTAGTGTTTTGCCTCAGTGTGGCGGGGTCAGATCAGGCGCAATTCCCACACTGTGTCTCCGGTGTTGTCCCCTGTAGGGCTATGGGTCAGTGAGGGACATCGTGTCTCATAGGGGGTCCAGCCATGTGGTCCTTTCTGTGGATTGGCTACTCTAATCGGGAACATCGTCCTCATGGCCTGGTGGGCCAGGATGTGCTCCACTTGCTCCTCCTCCCCCCTTCATCTGTTTCTGTGTGCTCTGATCAGGTGTGTCCCTCTCCCAGAGCTGCAGATTCAATGCCGTCCTTTGAAATGAATTCTTCTGGGGGGAGGGGCAGGTGTCCATGTAGTAGTTGGGATAGGGGCCGGCCCCTCAGACCTCTTCACTGGTTCCCTGCTCCATGCCAGCATGTTGCATTCACATATTGGAGCACTAGGTTGGAGTCTGGTTCCTCCTTCCCTGTGGAAATATAAACAATTCCCTCCCCTTGGGTATGTTAGTGCCCTGTGCCCCCACTACCCATTGCTTTTTTTATTATTATTATTTTTTCCTTTCCCTACCTCCTTTTTAGTTGT